CATCCATGCTTACCCCATTGCAGGACGCCCAAGATCATGTTTTTCTCCAAGGTTTGCTCCCACCAACTAACAGTCTCCAGCTTTCTCTGACCCGCCCAAGCCTCTTTTTATTCCTCCTTCTGAAGTTGTGGTCTGTCTTGAACTGTAGGCCTGCCATCTTCTTCACTCTTTGATTGCTTGACTGTTCAGCGCCATCAATCCATGGTTCTCTTCTTAGTCCGCTTTCTCTAGAAATTCTTCTCTGCTACTTTCCCTTTGCCCTACAAAGGGTCCTTAGTGTTGCCACACCCTCTCACTAGAACTTCCTGTTTGTTTTTCTGTGTGCTCCTGTTGAGTGACAATGCTTGACCTGGGGGGACAAAGCCCTCTTCTACTCACACTAGATAGACATCTCATGACGGAGGAGAGTACGGATACCACCAAAGTCCATCTTGGTGAACCAATGAGTGTCATTGGGGTTACTTACAGGAGTATGGGTGAGGGGTTACTTATAGAAGCAGAAATGACTCAAAGGCAGCTGCATCACCAAGGCCCACCCCAGCAGGCATGACAGCTCACAGAATCTGAGCACCTCGAGCATGCTCCAAATCCTGCAAGCAGCTAAGGAGGTTGGAGCATGCCTTCCAAGTGACTCAGTTGCTCTTCCAGAGAGTTTGGCTGGTTTCTACTTCTTCCAGGCAGCTGGTCTGGTCTCAGAGTCTTCTTTGCAACTCAACTTTGCTTCTCAGAAAAGTTCTCGCAGCTTTAATTGATTACTGTGTCAGGAAGGGGCCTCGGGAATCTGGTCAGTTTCAGGGACCCCCTGAAACTAATTTGAGTAGTTTAACCTTCTTGCTTTAGAAGCTTCCCTGAAGAATGGAATGTTTCAATCTAGGAGAAAACCATTAGGCAGCAGCTCCTAAGGGTGTGGTTCATCTCACAGTCCTGTTATACTTTCAGCAGTCCACATAATACTTGGCATAGCCTAAGTGTACCTGACATATTAGTTCTGTGACATCACCTTGGCATAATTCATCAAGCACTTACTATGGAATAGACACATAGATTATGGAATTAGCTTTACCGAGGCAGAGTCTTGCTCTGTAGCATAGGCTGGGCTAAAACTAGTCATTCTCCTGCCTCAGCCTCCCAAATATGAAGAGTACAAATAAGTGTCACCATGGCTGGCTTCTAACAATCAGTTTTGAGCCACACAGCTTCGTGTTGTATATGTAGAAGAAGAGGCAGCTGGAAACCAACCAGACCAGGGTTAGATTTCGGTCTCCATCATTTTATAAGCAAGAGCGGCCTATGCCAATCTGCTTTCCTCCTCCAAGTGACAGTTTGCTCTTCTGTAAGATGGAGATAAGGGTGCTAGCTTTACAGGGTGGTGGTGGGGATCCAAAGTGGCCACCCTCATAGGATGTGTAGCATGCCAGCTGTCGCTGGCAGGTGTGTGGTGCACATCAGTTCCTTTCAGCAACCTTTGGGGATGAGCAAGTGAGAAACTGCCAGATGCTTCTCTTCAGACTGTGGCAGAGATGGGTCGTGTTGCGCAGACATCTCACCGAGGCTTCTCCATTGACAACCAAGAAAGGAGGGCGCAGGTGATGAGCCTTTCCGTGCGGCAACTTAGTTGAGGTGGTTCCCTTTAGACAATGAGATAGGGCTGCACCACCCAGATTTCGGACCCACTAATACCCTGCTTCTTTCTCCTTGACTGGGACAGTTTCGTAATGAATGGAAGCTGTTGATGTGGTTCCGTTGAGTAATAAGGTCATTCTTCTACTCTATGAAATGGCTAGCAAGTAGATTCGTGAAATGTCTAATAACAGGCAGGTGTTTAGAATACAGAACTGTGTGACAGGCTTCTCAGAAGCGTGTGCCAGCAGAGGTGCTTGCGGTTAGTGGCAGACCCCTACCTCTCGCTCTGAAAAACAGAGTCCTCGGCTTGATGGCAGGCAGTCACAGAGAGAACGTGTCTGAAAAACAGGGTTTTTTTTTTCTTTTTTTTCTGTTTTGGTTGCCTGTGTATGTAGGTGGGGTGTGTGTACACCTGTGTATGTTCTCCTACATGTTGGTGCATGCACATGTGTATGTTCTACGTGTTGGTGTGTGCACGTGTGTATGTTCTCCTCTGTGTTGGTGCACACGTGTGTATGTTCTCTTTCATGTTGGTGCATGCACGTGTGTATGTTCTACGTGTTGGTGTGTGCACGTGTGTATGTTCTCCTGGGTGTTGGTGCACACATGTGTGTATGTTCTCCTACATGTTGGTGCATGCACGTGTGTATGTTCTACGTGTTGGTGTGTGCACGTGTGTATGTTCTACGTGTTGGTGTGTGCACGTGTGTATGTTCTCCTGGGTGTTGGTGCACACATGTGTGTATGTTCTCTTTCATGTTGGTGCATGCATGTGTGTATGTTCTGTGTGTTGGTGTGTGTATTGTGTATGTTCTCCTGGGCATTGGTGCGTGCACGTGTGTATGTTCTCTGCATGTTGGTGCATGCATGTGTGTGGATGGCAGAGATTGGGCTTGGGCAGCTTTCTCTATTATTCTCCACTTTGTTTATTGAGGCAGTCTCTCTCTCTGATTTGGCTCACCAATTCACCTCGTTTGACTAGCCAGCTTCCAGGAGGACCCCATGTCTCTCTACTCATGGAGTTCTGGGATCACAAGTGGCCTATCCGATAGCTTTTGATGTGGGCTATGAGGTTCCAAACTCTTGTTGCCACGTGTGCAGAGCCAGAGCTTTAGCACTGAACCATCTCCTAAACCCCATGGTTTGTTTTTAAAAACATTTGCTTACTGTATGTGTGTGGTGTGCTGGGTGCCCATATTCTCACGGCAAGAATATGGAGGGAAGAAGAGGACATTCTGGAATAGATTCTGCCTGCTCCCTGGGTCCTGGGGATTGAATTAAAGTTGTTAGGCTTGGCAGCAAGTGCCTTTATTCTTTGAAGCTTCTTTAACTCCTCCAGTTTCTTTCTTTTTTTTATTAATTTTATTGATTTTATTTTTTTGTGTGTGTGATTTCCCTCTTCCTTTTCCTCCCTCTAAGTCCTCCTACATGCCCCATATATTCCTCCTTGCTCTCCTTCAGATTCATGGCTTTTTTTTCTAATTATTTCATGCATATATAAATATATGTTTATGCATATATATTCCTAAATATAACCTGTTCAGTATTGCCATGTTACTTGTATGTGCATTTTCGTATATGTGTATTTATACACACACATATATATTTCTAAATATAACCTGCTCAGTACATTAATGTTGCCTGTATATGTGTTTTCAAGCACTGGATAACTAATTTGTGTGCTCTTCCTTGGGGAGGACCACCTCTCCTGCTCCCAATTTTCCTCAGTCACCTACAGTTCTCTGTGTAGGGTTGCAGCCTTGTAGAATTTCCCCTGTCCAGTTTGACTTGGACATTGGTATGATCTTGTGAATCTCACAGTTTCTTTTTCAGAATAAAAACAGATTATCTTTTTTTGTTTGTTTTTTTTTACGGAAAACCTCATTTTAATTTAAAAATTTTATTTTGTGACACATCTCTTTAATTTCCTTGAACTTTCTACATAGCCAGGCAGCCTTCAAACTTGCTGTGATTCTGTTTCGGCCTCCTAGAGCTCAGGCAGATCTTGAACTTGCTCTTCTCCTGCTCCAGTCTCCTGTATAGCTAGTGCTATAGGCGTCTCCTGTATGCTATAGGCATCTCCTGTATGCTATAGGCATCTCCTGTATGCTATAGGCGTCTCCTGTATGCTATAGACATCTCCTGTATGCTATAGGCATCTCCTGTATGCTATAGGCGTCTCCTGTATGCTATAGGCGTCTCCTGTATGCTGTAGGGGTCTCCTGGTGCTATAGGCATGCGCCACCAGGCCCAGCTGACTCTTTGGTTAAGATAACACCCACCTTGTACTGATGACAAAACTTTACATAGAGTACTCATTGCATACATTTCATAAGTACATAATTTTATTCAATAAATTTTACATTTAATTTTGCTTTATATGTAATTTTCTTATATATTTTTAACATTTAATTTTTATTGTATGTATGTGGGTGCTGGCTTACATGTATGTCAGTGTACCACATGTGTGCTAAGTACCCAAAGAGACCAGAAGAGGACATTGGATCCCCTGGAACTGGAATTGCAGGTGGTTGTGAGGGGCCATGAGGGTGCTGGGAATTGAATGCAGGTCCTCTAGAAGAACAACTTACTTAACCACTGAGTCATCTCCCCAGCCCCTCAACTTTCCTACTTTATAAGGTTTAGATGAAGGGCCAGATCTGCACACCATGAGTAAGTAGTACAGCCTGTGCTTGAATTTTTATCTACCAGAATTCATCTGACTTCAAGGGAGAGACTTTTAAATACCGTGAAGTGTGGTTTTCTGCATAGCGTGTTTGGTTTTCTCACAGTATATATTGTGTGAATTTAATAAAGCTAGCAAGGAGGTTGCATAAATCTCCAAATAGTGCAGGAAATAGACTATTCTTAGCTAGCAACTGATATAATCAATACCTACCCTTACCAATTAATAACAAATGAAATGGGTTTTTATGGTAGAGATTCATTCTTTTCTCTTTCCTGTGGCATTTATTTATCACCTATTCTATGACACGGAGTCGTCTCATAAGGACATTCTTTTGTGATGTTTTTATAGAGGGAGATACTATAGATAGAAAAAGCCCAGAATGCGTAAGTCTTCCAGGTCAATATCCTGCCCTGCTGTTCACTGTGAAGGCTTTTGAACGTTGTAAAAGCTGGTGCTCAGGTGTGTGAAGGTATGGGTGGAAATGAATGAAGTCATAATCTAAATCAGTAGTTCCTCTCATTCCCTGTGAGTGGAAGGCAAAATATGTGGGAATGAGTGTCTGCTTTTGATGGACAGATCGTTTCTGCATACATGTAACTGGATGGCGTGCAGTCATTTTTAGAGTAGGATTGAACTATCGAGAACTATTCTCTCCTAATACATGCCCTTTTATTTTCACTGGTCACAGAGGCAGGGGCCTATTAACCTGTTTGAAGATCCTCGAACGACTTGCGGTTTCCAGGCCAGTTATCATCAGCAAAGACCTCTTTACCCAGTCTGGGATGAGACCGCCACTCAGGAAGTTCCGACTGGCCTTGAACACTGTGGCTCAGGTAGGAACGTAAACAAAAGCTGGGAATGTGGAGAGAGTTGAAGGGCAAGGGAAATCTGCTGAGGGCTACTTCTCTGAAATAACACCTCCACAGCTTCCCTGGGTACAGATGCTATTGTTCTCCCGTGGAAAGCCCCGTGTCTTCTCAATAACTTTGCACTACTTCATTGTCCAGCAGGAAGGTGAAACTACCAACCGGCCCAAGAGGGGTTGCTTTTGGTCTGTTTTGTAAATAGTTTCGTGCCTTCTGTGGACTTTCCTGTTGCTTCTCCGTTTCAGGTGGTTGTTGACAAACACATTTTGCCATCCTAAAGGATGAACTGGAAAGACAGAAGGTGGCGGATCAGCCTTCCATCAGGCTGACACATCTCTTGTATCTTCATTGCTCTCATTCTCCACTGGCATTTGCAGTCTCTTTTCTCCAGCCTTTTCCTGCTCGCCAACCATCTCTGCCAAGCACTTTCCCCAGTCCCCCTTCCCAATTTGCTAGCTACAGGGTGGCCCTCTCCTAAGGTGGAGTGAGACTCCCCAGGACCTGTCTGTAGCAAGTCTACCTGTTTGCCCCAGGACCAACCAAAGCAGCCCGAGCTGTTGCCTGTGTGCCTCTGTTTTCTGGGCTTACTTCCATTTCTTTTCAACTCTATTAGTCTCTGTTTACTTATTAGCATTTGAAGAAAATAATAAATGTATAACTTGAATTCGACGGTATGAAATTTCATTATCTTTGAAACCATGCTATAATGACATATATAAAATATAATATGCATACGCATACATATTATTCCATATATATTATTAATCCATATAATTGTTCTAAATCTGTCAGAATTTTATTCCAAATCTGTCAGATTTTATTTTTATTTTTTTGGTCAGGATACATTCCTAGCATAAGAAATGTCATGTGCCTGCATATTGAAATACGTATTTCTCAGGAATTAGACAAGTGAAGCTGTGAGACTGGGGGTAATTTCTGAAACTAAGTAGAATTCTTAGTTGTGGTGGTTATTTATTCTCCTCCTGACTTATAATAAATGACTTGTAAAACAGTGGGAAAATAAAACGAACATCTGCTTTGTTGCCCATGCTTCATCCTGCAGCAGAAATGAACAGTGAGACTCAGAAAAAGGTACTTGTTCCAGGCAGGGACTTGCTGTGGTGGGTGGGGTGTGCTTTGATGAGCAGGGCTGCTGTGGTGGGCAGGGCAGTATGGGAGGTTCTTTCTAGTTCCCTGGTTCATCTCTAGGATAAAATGGCATCAATATTTGTTGACTCCGTGAATGGTGATAATTTCAGTAGTTTATGACTCGCCTCAGGGCTGCGGATGCAATCATGTCTATGCTATCATTTTCTTGTTGCTATCTCAGTCCCTTCAAGTATTAAAAGCATAAACGCAAACCTCTCAGCTGCCCATCCTGTTCCACCAAGAGGCTGGGAAGATTCTGCATCTGTGCAAAGGTTAGATTCAAGACTTCAGATGTAAGGACGTGAAGTTCCAAACAAGTTGGGCAGTGGTAGGAGCAGTTGGGAGGCAGAGGCAGGCAAATCCCCAGGTTTGAGGTCAACCTGGTCTCTATAGTAATCTCCATTACAGCCAGGGTTACACAGAGAAACTCTGTTTCAAAGAACAAAACAAAAAGTCCAAACAAATTAGATTTCAACTATAAAAGCAGAAGACCCACACAGTCATGCCTGAGTTTGTATAATTCTTGAGTACCATTAATGCCACACGATTTAGGGTTTTTATCTACTAATTGCAACTGTGATTTGCTACTTGCCTTAAACTTTTGCTCTGACGGTACTTGTGCTTGCTACAAGTTGACTCTTATTTGTAGCTGAGGTTCTCTGCACACTCCCCAAAGTGGGAATGTCTTTGCTTCCCAAAAGACAGACATAGTTTTTCTCTTTCTGAATTGAGGAGCACACAATTGGCCAGAGGGGATGGCATCTTATTGTCCTTCTACTTCAGGGCCAGCGAGACAATTTCTGTGAAATATATGATTAACAAATCAATCTATTCTTAGCTTTAAAATGCAAAGAATTGTTAGCGATGTGCTACAGTGTGCTTTAGCTGACGGCTGCAAGACAAAAGCTGGGGTTCCTTTGGCTTGTGGCTTTGAGGTGGGATGGGAAGACTGGAGGGATAATAACTGTTCTTAGGACGGCCTGACATGCCTTCCATTGCAGCTTAGGCTATCCATGAGGTCTGACTTCCTACCAGTTGGTGGCAATCTATTTGCAACTATAGGCAGTACCTCCCACTTCCTCAGGCTCCCTCTGATGGAAAGCTCTGGGGAGAACCTTGTGCCTTCCTTGTCTGCCTCTTGCCTTGTGAGCTGTCCAGATGAAGGAGCAGCAGCGGGAATTCTCTCTGGTCTATGGCCCAGTTCTCCTCGGTGATGGGTTGTCCTTTGGAAGGCTATTGTGGGGTAATAAAGATGGGAGATGAAGACGTGTGAACGAATGATTTCTCCAGCTGTGGCACTTTTTTTTTTTTGGTGGAGCTATGCTGAATAAAAAGAAAGGGAGAAAAATACTCTAGGTTTTTTTTTTCTTTTTTCTTCATCTTCTTTCATCCATCCTATTTATAACTTCAGCTTCCTTCCCCTCCTCCGACTCATAGCTACTTCCCACTCCTGCTCTGCCTCACGTCCGTACTCTCAGAAGGGATGAATGGACTTCTTTTCCAAGGTTTACACATCTGTCAGTGACTGGAATACTGACAGGAGGAGCTGGTCGTGCACACCCAGGCTCCCTCATAGTGTCCTTCACCCGAGTGTTCTTTTCGTTCATTCATGAAGCGGCAGAGGCCGAGAAAGAGGAAGAGGAGGAGGAGGAGGAGGAGAGGAATGGAAGGAAGGAAGGCAAGAGAGAAGAAAGCTGAACTAAGGCTTGGGTAGGGAAAGCCTCACCAATAAGGGGAAGGGAGACTTGGCAGCTAGGAAAGCAAGGAACAGGTAAAAAGGGAACTGACAGAAAATAGAGAGGAAGGGTAAAGGGTGAAGAAGGTGAAAGATGACTGAGGGGGGAACAGAGAAGTGGGGAGCCCAGAAGATGACAAGGGAAGAAGGGGAGGAAAGAGAGTGTGAAAGGGAGAGAGAAAAATGATTCTGAGGACATTCGCGACACAGCTAAAAAGGGAAGTCGCATTTGCATGCAATTGCCCGTGCAGCTGTACGTTGCTTCACAATGATCTTGCAGTCATCATTTTCTTTCATTTTTACCTCCTCCTCCTCCCTCTGCCACGGCCCCCTCCTCGCTATCAGCCTGGAGCCATTATGGAGAGCCAATGGGGGCCGAGGGCTGGTGTTCTGCATGAATGAATGGGCCCTTTCTGTTTCAGCTTCTCGTCATCCCTCTGTCAGGGAACCGTGTGAATCAATGGAGCTCCTTAACAAGCTAGGGCTGTACTGTCTGTTACTGTTTATAGTCTGCCTGGAGTGCAGCCCACTGACCCGGCTTCTTTTCTGTCCCTCCGTTTCAGCACCTCCTTCTCCAGCATCATAAGAATCTTTGTGTACGTCAGGCCCCTGCTCCCTGTCTCTAAGAACTCACTAACACATTGCTGTCACGAGCCCTTAGGGCTAGTTCCTGCCCACATCCCTGTTGAGAAGTGACTGGGTAGATACAATCCATTCTCAGATGAGAAGATAAGCCTGGAAGTGGAGCCAAGCCCTGACCGGAGTCAGGCAATGCTTGTTTCTATTGGGAACCAGAAATCAGAGACCGCACTCCACGCTGAGACAACAGGACCAGAATTCGTCCATAGCTGCCAGCTGTCCATATGTGACTTTAGCTTCTCAGTTAGAGTCATCATGAGTGACCAAAGCATGTATCAGAAAACATGGTGCTCTAGCCTCCTTACAGTTTGGCATCATATTTTATTTTCATTTCAGGAATTATTTTTCAAATGCAGAGATGGTTTTAGTCTTGGATCAGCGTAATTTATAAGAGTAGCATTTTGATCAATGTACATCATGTCAAATCCTTGCGTCAGCTGGGAGGTAGTGCACAGCCACAGAGGCTAGAAAAGAACAGGTTTCATTCTCCTCGCCATGGTCCTTGATTTGAACTACCAGGTGCTGCTTTTTCCCTTCTATAATGTAGTTTGGCATATTGTGTTTGCTGAGTTCAGTAAAACCTTCATCTACCCTCATGCACAGAATCCTGCCTCTTTTCATCTGTCTTGAGAAAGAATGAAGAGATGGACCAAGAGTAAGGGAGAGTAAGGGACCTGGGCTTCTCTCTCTTTCTTTCTCTCTCTCTCTCTCTCTCTCTCTCTCTCTCCCTACCTACTTATTTTTTTTTTGAGAGGGTCTCTCTCTGTGTAGGAACCCAGGCTCTTAAAGGAGATTGCTTAGGTTTATGGTAGGTCTTCCTCACTGTGTGACCTCAGGCAACTTGATTTTGATTCTCCAGTTTCCTCATATACCAGGGAGATTCTCAAAGTATGTTCCACAGGTAGTGGCAGAAGCAACACAGAGAAGCAGGAGGCACAGGATAAAGAAGAAGGAGAAGAAGAAGAAGAAGAAGAAGAAGAAGAAGAAGAAGAGGAGGAGGAGGAGGAGGAGGAGGATCTTAGATATATAAAATTTAACTCTTGCTTTAGACTCACACACTTGAATCTCCAGAATCTGCTAAATCACAGGCTTTAAGGTTCTACTCCAGGGTTAGGGCTGAGAAATGTTTGTTTCTAATACTCTTCTAGGAGCTGCCCCAGTTACTGCTGCTGGAACTCTAGAGCTCACACTCTGAGAACCACGCAGTTCACATCTATGAAACTTGAAGCATGTCAGCATACAGTAAACATGATGTGCATGTCTGCTATTGTAAACCATTGCCTTCAAGTGCCTTTTGACTCATTGTCCCGTAAAGTATGTTTTGGAAATCAAAAAGTGCTTAAAGGTTGAGTCAGAAAGAGACCCACTGTTTGGCTGAACTCATTTGACTGCCAGGGGCACTTGGTGGGTCTCAAGAAGACAGATGGGGAAAGAGAAGACAGAGTCCTTGCCTGCAAACAACTTCTTTTTTTAATTGCATGTGTAGGGTACATTTTTTTTTTTTTTTGGTAATAGGGTAAATGGCTTCTATATGGAATAGCACACTTACATATGACACAGGCTTGGGAATATCGGGGAGTGACTTTAGATTTCACTATTTAAAATTTCTGAAGCAAATTTACTAATCAGATGGTGGAGTTGAGGAATGTCTTCCCCAAATAAACTTTAGAAGTTCATGTGGGAGACATGTTGAGAGGCCAGGTTCATGGTCTCTCTTGGGGCTCTGTCATCTGGCCCAGCGGCTGGGAGGGATCAAACCTGGGCAGTGTTTGGAAAGCTCCATCGACAGCCAGGTGGGATGTCTCAGCAGGAAAAGCAGAGCCTCCAGTTTGGCTTTCAAGTGTTGAGAGTGTTGAAGAAACGCCAGCCAGCAGGACTTCAATGGAGACTCACCTTGCCCCGGAATGTTTATGCTCCTAACAGGTTTCTCCTTTCAACTGACTGCCTAGGATGTTGGATGGCTGCGTGGCTGGTTTAAGAACCAGCGGTTTCAGCTCCAGCTGCAGCGCGTATCTGTTCTGTCTTTCTTCAGGACACAGTTTTCTTTTTCTAGAGCACTTTTTTTTTAGGTTCTTTGTTCTTCCAGACAATTCTGAGCCTGT